TTTTCTTCTTTATAATTTGTGTTTGGCTCTATCTTGCCATAGATAAAATTTATACTATTATATAATCAACTTTCTCCCTTTTAAATTATAGCTTCTGGATTATGTATTGTTCATAAAGTTGTTTGAAATAACAAATATTCTTATTTATACAAAATTTTTGCAGTTTCTCCTGATATCTTAATGATTTTTTTCTGGTTTACTTTTAAATATTTCAATCTTTCATCTATTGGGATTTTTTTTAAGGAATGTGATAGAAATATACACACACATGCATATGTATGTCTTTTATTGTTTTTTGTTATTTGGCACAATATACAGTCTAAATTTTTTAACATTCTATCCTTTACCTGATTCAAAACACCATTTCCATTGTACATTAGATTTCTCTATGTATTTTGTCTATCTTCATTGTACATTAGATTTCTCTATGTATTTTAGACCATTTACTCCTTCTCATTAACTTATTTGTCTCTAATACAAAATTTCTAATTATCATTCTTCAGAATATTTTAAGATCTTATAAAATTAGATACCCATTAATTTTTTTCATGTGTCAGAAATTATTTTTTCCTGATAATTTTTAACAAGTTATATAATTGAAATTATCATAATGATAATTTTAACTAAACGTGGACATGACATAAAATATCTATTATTCATGGAAGAAAAATGGGTAAAGGAGATTGGGTCTGAATTCTAGATGATCTACCTATCATACATACGCCATTGAGTGAACTACTTTGCTTCTCTGATCCTTAGTTATCTCAAGTCTAACACAACTCTATTTACTTCATATAATCCCCTTGAGGAAAATTTATGTGAAAGTTAATAGGGAGTGCTCAAATACATGTTGTCAGAACTTGAGTATATACACTATATAACTGTTAAGATAATTTAGCCATATTATCAGAAATTATCGTTACATATCCAATGTGATTAAGTTGACTGATGGGGAATTTAGACAAATTTCTGCAAAGGATTCATGTTTCTATGACACTGAATTCTGCATGATCTAAATATTTGAATGACACTGCAGCTAGTCCTGTAATTCAGGAAGGGACGCCATCGTGTTTCTATTCACTCGATATGCCTGTTTATAACTAGCTGAGTCAACAACAAGCTAAACTTTTCCTCTCAGTGTTGGAATATTAAGGTCATAGTGTCCTGTCAAACAGAGTTGGAAATCTCTTCTCCAAGTGTGTGATGCTAATTTGGGTATCTTAAAGCCCTGTAAGCGAATATCTTCTAAAATGCACTGTGGTATTTGAAATTCTGCTTCCTAGGTTACTCAGAGGAAACAAAGAATTTCACTTAGCTGCCTCAAGCTAAAATTCATTCTATTGAAATATGTTCCTTCCCTGCAAGGAAGGATGTGTCTTCAGCTTTATGGGGGGGGAGTGTTCCTGTAAGCACCATGCTCTGTGTGTGTGTGTGTGTGTGTGTGTGTGTGTGTGTGTG